TAAGACTCGCTACTGAATCTTTTTAATATGTTAATAAAGAAGCTCATATATTATCATTTCACACATTTGTTTTATTAAGTATATTGCTAAATGTTTTTGATGTCAGTTTCTTTGACACAAAATATTTTATATTTTTTTAAAAAGCATTATTGGCCATGTGACTCGGTTGGAGTGTTGTCCCATACACCAAAAGGTGGGGGTTCAATTCCTGGTCAAGGCACATACCCAGGTTTTGGGTTCAATCCCCTGTTGGGGTCCGTGAAAGAGACAACAGATGGTTGTTTCTCTTACATCGATGTTTCTCTCTCTCTCTCTCTCTTTCCAATAATTTTTTTTTTTTCTCTTACATCGATGTTTCTCTCTCTCTCTCTCTTTCCAATAATTTTTTAAAAATGAGCTCACCCTAGTTGGTTTGGCTCAGTGGATAGAGCGTCAGCCCTCAGACTAAAGGGTCCCAAGTTCAAGTCTGATCAAGGGCATGTACCTCGGTTGCAGGCTCAATCCCCAGCCCTGGTGGGGGTGCCTGCGGGAAACAACCAATCGATGTGTTTCTCTCACATCAATGTTTCTCTCTCTGTGTCTCTCCCTCTCCTTTCCACTCTCTCTAAAAACCAATGGAAAAATATCCTCGAGTGAGGATTAACAAAACAAAACAGAACAGAAGAGCTAATAGGTGTAAAATGCTGAGAAGAGTGCCTGGGACATAGTAAGTGATATACAAATGTTACTATTATGGTTGTGGTGGTGGTTATGGGGCAGTAATGACGATTAAATGAGATTATGGAAGTAAAATGCCTGGCACAGGCCGGGGTACAAGAGCTAGAATTTGATCATTCGTTAGAGGTTAGCTGGATGCCCCTGCCCCCCACCATCCATAGGAGATCTGGTTAAACTTGGTCCAAACCCCAATGCCATGGTCTGGGAGAATCCAGACCCCTTCCTTCCCCTTTGGCAGGTTCCCACCCACCTGTCACTTATCCTAAGACTTCCTTTCACTTGGGGGACGGGGGGGGGCAGCATTTCCAGGTACAAAGCCAGACCCTTCCGTGGTTCTACAATAAATGCTCTCAAAAAGCGTGTCCTGTGAGGGCTCCCAACATCTCGCCCCTTGCACCATCTCGCCCCCTTGCTGGTGGTGAGAAGAATCCAGCCTGGCCACTGGGTAGGGGCTAACTGCTCCTCCCCACCACGCCCTGGCCAGCTACCCTTTCCTGCTCTCGGATGCAGCTGCTTATCTGGTCCCCTTGACCATGGCCTCATTCAGCCTCTCCCCTGGTGCCCACGACTGTGACCTGGATCAGCCTCCCTCCTCCTCTCCCTCCCCCGGTCCCCAGCCTTGGGTTTTTCCCTTCCTGTCCAATCTGCATGTCACCAGTGTGAACTTGCTAAAACCAAGAGCTGGTCCTGGGCAGTTTGGCTCAGTGGATAGAGCGTTGACCTGCGGACTGAAGGGTCCCAGGTTTGATTCTGGTCAAGGGCACATGCCCAGGTTGCAGGCTTGAGCTCCAGTGGGGGGCATGCAGGAGGCAGCCAATCAATGATTCTCTCTCATCATTGATGTTTCTGTCTCTCCCTTTCTGGAATCAATAAAAGTAAAATAAAATAAAATAAAATAAAATAAAATAAAACTGAGAGCTGGCAGTTATTTCCCTTCGTGAAGCCCTGCCTACCCCCTCCTGCCCTTAGTCACGGCGAATAAACCCCTCAGCCTGCCCCAGCCCCTTCTCCCTGCCCCTTCAGGTTCCCTGGGCTCCAGGCTTCCACATGAAGCCACCTGAGCTCCTGAGGGCACCCAGCCATGAACTCATCTGTCCTCACTGCTCTCCTCCATGCACCTGTCCACTCCCTGCCCCTCGTCTGATGGTGTCAGGACTCAGCTCAGTTATTATCTGCCGCCTCCAGGCAGCCCTCCCAGACCCCCCAGATGGGGCTAGATGACTGTTCTGACTTCCACAGCCCCTCCACTTGACATGTTTTTCCCACATAGTTCTCTGCACGCCCCCCCCCCCCCCAGACTTTGAGCCCACTGAGGCCAGGCCAGTTCTGATTCACTTGTTTCCCCAGGGCCCAGCACAGAGCACAGGGAGTCTCAGTGGGACAAGTGTTTGTTGATTGACTAACTGACCTAGTAACAGGAAGTAAATGACTACCCAGCCACAGCTTCAGCCCCACCCGTGCGCCAGTGGCAAAGGGCTGGGTTTCCCCATAAACCGGTTGGGAAGCCCAGCAGCCAGCCTGAGAGGCTGGGAGCTAAAGGTAGTTTCCAGTACATGAAAGGGCCAGGCTGTGACTGTGAGTCACCCCTGTCATCCCTGCGTCCCAGCTGGACTTTACAAGGGCCCTGTGGGCCCTCAGGCCCGGGAGGGAGGAGCTTACGTTGATGGAGCTTCTGCCGTGAGCAAACTTTACAGACACCATCCCTGTGAATGCTCACAGTCACCCTTTGAAGTACCCATCGCTGTGTCTGTTTACAGAGGAGGAAACTGAGGTTCAGTGAGGGGACAGGACCCACCAAGGTCAGTCACTTAGTGACTCACATCTTGGCACATCTGGCTCCAGAGCCCAAATCGCTTTCCTCAGGCCGCCTGCCCTAACAGTAAAAACAGCCGCCTTTTGTGGAGCACGTGCTGTGTCCACGCCCGCAATAAGCATTCACCCCATTACCTCCTTTAACCCCAGAACAGGCCAGCGAGGGAGGGAATGAACCACTTTGTAGGTGAGGGGGCCGGTACTCAGAGCAGTGCCGTCGCCGGGTCCCCAGCTGGAGCCCAGGGCCCGGGTCTCACTGAGCAGGCAGCTTCCTGAGCTCACCCGGCCCCTCTCCGTGGAGACTGCCTGGGGGCCAGGAGCGAGGGTCCCCCTTGTGCTGTCGGTGTGGGGAGAACTCTGGGTGGATCTCTACCGGGCTAACTCAGATGAGCCATCACCACACTCCTGCCTCAGTTTCCCTACTAAAGTAGAATAAAAACTTCCTCTTAAGGGAGCCAGGAAGGCTGGCGGCCCCGAGCTAGGGCAGGAGGATGTGCCAGGGGTGCCCGCATCATTGGCTGCGCCCCTTCACCATCCTTTAGTTCCAGACTCCCCCATGCATCATGGAGGTGCCAACCACACCGTCTTCCCCAAGCTCCTCAGTGTTGCTCCCTGCCCAGCCCTCTCCCGACTCCCTCACTCCTAGCCGACCCCCCAGCTCTGGCCACCCTAGATCCAGTCGGCCACACTCTCTAAGCTCCCTTGCAGCTCCCTGAGGCCATGGCTCAACGAGGCCAGTGGTCAATGCTGTGACTCCATCTCCCCAGTGAGTGCAGGTGAGGAGCCTGCAGCCCAAAGATTGTCACCTGGGCCTGAGCCCTGGTTTGGCCACCCACTAGCCCTGTGACCTCAGCTAAGATATCTCCAGGCGAGTCTGAAAGGTGACCCCTGGTGGACATGCTTGGCCAGCAGTGTGGCCTCACTGCGTGGAGCAGGAGGAGCCGAGGGCTCTGCTGAGACCTGTACATGGATTGGCAGCTGTGACCCTGTGGCTCCAGCAGATCCTCACGCTCCTGCTTCCTCAGCAGACAGACTTGCAGGTGTCTCCAGCCCCACACCCAGGTGCCCGAATAACCCAGGGCCCCACCTCATGCACTCTCTCACCTCTTCACTCATTCACTCACTGAGACATTCAGCCAACGAAAGTCTATGTCTGGCCCAGCCTGTGTGGTTCAGTGGTTGAGCGTCTCCCCATGCACCAAGGAGTCGCTGGTTTGATTCCCAGTCAGGGCACGTGCCCAGGCTGTGGGCTCCATCTCCGTAAACATATTTAAAATGAAGAAAGTCTATGACTATACAGTAGCATACACACATGAAGCATCGGAAGGAGGAAGGGTTTAAGTAAATTCAGCACCACCGTGCCAGGCACTCACGAAAAGCAGTGAGGACATTGTCTCTATGCTCATGCGGAGACATCGCCAGGATGTACTGTGGAGTAAACAAAGCAAGGCGCAGGAACAGGTGTGCGATGGGGCTCTATTGGTGCACAAGGAGGAAATCTGGCAGGTACAGATGGGCATGTGTGTGTATATACGTCGAACCCCTTTGGAAGGGTTTGCACACACACATGCACGTACACACACACACACACACACACACACAGTGGGAAGGGGGCCCTGGCCGTGCAAGAACCTGCAACAGCCCTAGCTGGTTTGACTCAGTGGATAGAGCCTCGGACTGAAGGGTCACGGGTTCATTTCCTGTCAAGGGCACATGCCCAGGTTTCAGGTTCAATCCCCACTAGGGGGCGTGCAGGAGGTTGTTTCTATCTCTCTTTCCCTCTCCCTTCCCTGAAATAAAAATATATTTTTAAAAAAGAAAAGAAAAGAAAAGAACCTGGAACAGCAGTTGCCTCCAACAGGGGATGGGAAGGCTGGTGGACAGCGTGGAGGACCCTTATTTTGACATTACCCTCGTTCACACATTCTGAATGCTTTCCCAGGTGTGTGTAGTCTCTATTCCAAAACTCTGAAATCGCCCCAAAAGGAACATGGTATGGAGACAACAGAGCTGGAGCTTGGGGTTCACTTCCTGGTTCTGCCGCCCTCGGGCTCCAGTCAGTTACCCTCTGGGGCGTTTCCTCCTCCCCTGAGATTAACAAGTGGGATCAAAGCGAGATCAGGAGGGCGCCGCTCCCACACGCACACGCACATGCCTCCACGGCAGCCGCGCCCACAGTGGCAGCTGCTAGCATCCCTGTTAATGTCCTGGTCAGGCCTGTTCCAGGCCCCCAGTGACACAGATGTGAAGGGACACGCCTCCACCCCCCACCCCCAGGACAACAACAACCAGGGAAGACGGACGCCAGCCAGGGCAGGCTGCCAGCGAGGTGACCACATCTCGCTGAGTCTTCAAAGGTAAGTAGGGGAGTCAGGAGGGGAGGGGAGGAAGGGCGCTCCAGGCAGGAGGGCCAGGCTGGACACATAAACAGAGTTGTAGACACACGCGACGAGGAACACCTGTGTGCACACCTGCCCCACCCTTCGCCAGCTCACCTACTCACGTAGACAGCCCACGGGCTTGTACCCGCCCTAGGTGCTCCCAGGCCAGGCCGGGCAAGGCGCGTGGGGGTTAGGAGTGCGGGCTGGGATAGACTGCTGGCTCCTGTGTGACCCCTGGCAAGCCATTAACCTCTCTGTGCTTCAGTTCCCTGAGGACAACAGTGCGGAACTCATAGGGAGGCGGTGAAAATTACATGAGGCAGTTTCTTTTTTAAAAAACTTATTTTTATTGATTTCAGAGAGGAAGGGAGAGGGAGAGAGAAATAGAAACATCAATGATGGAGAGAATCATTGATTGGCTGCTTCCTACACACCCCCTGCTGGGAATCAAGCCCACAACCCCGGCATGTGCCCTGACTGGGAATTGAATCGAACCGTGACCTCCTGGTTCATAGGTCATGCTCAACCACTTGGCTACACCGGCCGGATACCTCCTGGTTCATAGGTCGATGCTCAACCACTTGGCTACACCGGCCGGGCCATGAGGCAGTTTCTGTGCAGTACTGAGAAGGCTGTTTCATCGTTTTCATTGTTATGCTAGAGCCCCGGGTCAGAGGCCAGCTGCTCTGGGTGGAGAGAAGGCCCCAGGCTCACGGTGTGTGTTCTTAGCCTGGGGGCCCCTGGGAGGCCAGCTGCCACCGTGTCCCTGTGCCCCCTGTGCCCAGCACGGTGGGCGCCTGGTGTCGTGCAGGAGGCCTGGTTCCTGGCAAGAGTTGACTGACAGTGTGAACAAGTGGCTGCCCGTTGTATGACGTTGAAAACACTAGTAGAGTTGTCTTGGGATTGTCTATCTCACGTTCATCTCCCCTCTGGACTCGGAGTTGCATGAACTTAGGGCTCATATCTGTTCCGGCACCAGATCCTGGCAAAGAGTGATCATCAGTGAGAGAATTGGGAGATATTTGGCTGTAAGTGGCAATAGCAATAGCTTACATGAATGTGTTTATTTATCTTACCCAGAAAAGTTTGGAGGGGGGGATTCCAGGCTGAGCCAGAGTGTCTGGGATCCAGACTCCTGATATCTTCCTGCCTAGTTCCTAGACTCCAGCACCCACAGCCTCCTTTCATAAATGCACCTCATGGTCCAAGGTGGCTGCTCTAGTTCCAGGCAACACATCTTTATCCCGGCCAGCAGGGAGGAGAAGTGAAATGAGGGAAAGGCACAGAGCCTATGCCAGCTCTTTATTAAGGAAGCTCTGGCCCGCCCTGGCCAGTTTTGCTCAGTGGATAGAGCGCTGGCCTGTGGACTGAAGGGTCCCGGGTTCCATTCCAGACAACGGCACATGCCCAGATTGCAGGCTTGATCCCCAGTAGGGGGCGTGCAGGAGGCAGCCAATCAATGATTCTCTCTTATCATTGATGTGTCTATCTCAATCTCCCTTTTCTCTGAAATCAATAAAAATATATTTTTTTAAAAAAGAAAGGAAGCTCTCCCGGCTGGCTGGCGTGGCTCAGTGGTTGAGCATCGACCTATGAACCAGGAGGTTATGGTTTGATTCCATCAGGGCACATGCCCAGGGTTGTGGGCTCGATCCCCACTAGGGGGCGTGCGGGAGGAAGCTGATCAATGATTCTCATCATTGATGTTTCTATCTCTCTCTCCCTCTCCCTTTCTCTCTGAAATCAATAAAAAAAATATTTTTTTTTTTAAAAAAAGAATCATTGATAGGCTTAAACTGAATTCATTTGTTGACTGTCCTGTGGGACTTTTGTAATCCTATATATACATATAACTATGCATACTTATATACTTTTTTAAATGTAAAATGTATATACTTCTCATGGAATCACACTACACATAGGCTACCTGAAAACCTCAAAATACTAAAAACGATCTTGTTGAAAAATAACTTTTCCACCACTTCACATACCAACATCTCTAGTATTTGTGCTGCTTTCCTAAGACCAAGAGGTACTCCACTGGGCCTCTCTGACTGTTTCACATATAAGTTTTCTCCAATTTTTCTAGGATTAAAAATAATGCTGGCCCTGACCGGTTTGGCTCAGTGGATAGAGCATCAGCCTGCGGACTCAAGGGTCCCAGGTTCGATTCCGGTCAAGGGCATGTACCTTGGTTGCGGGCACATCCC